GTACTTTGTGAAAAGGTAGTATCTAAAATGATTCTCGGACAGAGCCGATCAATAGCCGCTAGTATAATATAATATATAATATATATATATAACTTTGAATGTGGAATTCCACGGGTAAGGCCGGGAAATAACAGCTAGTAAATGTAGATATATATATGTATATGTATGTATCTTCAAAATATACAACATAATATTGCAACAATATATAGCATTGCATGAAAAGTTGCCAGGCACTTTATCCACATTGTAAATGGTTTAAATGAAGATAAAATCGCTTTTATTGTTAAATTGCAAAGTACTGCCAAGTTTTGTTAACTTGTTTTTTTAGTTATTCATTTTGAATCGGTGTTCTTATTATGAAGATTAAAGCTTCTAGAACTGCCCGACGGGACTCAAAGCATATTCTCATTTTAATTTTCCCTTATTCCATTTGTGGGAAGTGTTGTGAATGGAACAAAGGCTCTGCAACAAATCAGATATTAACCTACAGCTGCCCCTGCCGCTCTCCATTGATCATTCTCACACCTCAGCTTAAGCGAACCCACTAATAATCGAACGTTTAGTGTCAGTTCCCACCCAAAAGGAGAGCCCAGCACGACCAGGCCGGTCTTTTATCGCCTTAAACACACACTCGCACACACAGACACACACACACGACATACTGGCGAACAGCACTCATCCGATTTGGCTTGGTTCACACTGAACAAGGCAATAATTTCAGCTTCTAAGCCCTATTAACCATTGCTAACCGAATGGTGGAAGCAGCCAACCGAAAGGCTGGCAAGGGCACGGGCGGGGGTAGTTGGTGGGCAGGCCAAGGGGAGGGCAGCTCTAAAGCGTCTGACAGTCGGGCAGGCTGGCAGTCGGGCAGTCAGGACTGTGTTCAGCAATTCAATAAGCGGCAGGCACAAAGAATTTGTGTGCACGTCGACGACAACGACGGCATCGACAGGGGCGGAGGCAGAGGCAGAGGCAGAGGCACGCACGAACGGCCATCGAAGCGGGTTTGACGAGTGGGGAGGGAGAGGTCCTGTTACAGTCTTGGGATGATGTTGATGATGGTTGAACTGGCGACTGGCAACTGGCAACTGCCGTCGAGGCCGAGCAAATCCGGAACGAACGAACATATTGACAAATTATCCTTTTTACACGCATCGCCTGCTGAGTTGGCCTCGCCTCGCACAGCGTCGGTCCTGGCTACTACCAATACACAGACACACACACACACACACGCACACACGAAGCCATTGTTAAATGTGCCAATGTGCACACATAGTCTGTCGTCGTCGTCGTCGTCGTCATAGCCGACGTAGCCGTGGGCACTGCGCGCATTTTGTGTACATAAACAGAGCAGATCTGAAACAAAAACAAAAACAACAACAACAGCAAATGCAAGTGAAAGAGCTGTAGTCGGGTGTGGCCGACTATAAGATTCCCTGCACGCTTTAAGTTGCACAGCTTTTGTGCTTTTTCCTGGTACTTTTCGGTAATTCTAGCCCAATATTTAGGAAATTTTCTGGTCACAAACATTGCATCAATGCTAAGGAAATACCTAAAATAAAATGTTAGTAGTCAGTATCAGTTTTTTGAAATAAAACTTACGTTCCAAACTTTAATTCCCTGAGATCGACTAAGATCAGTCAGAAATGCCTCTTACAGTATTTTACAAGTTTTGCCCAAAACAGTATACCCTTTTTAGCCATTTTTAAGCGATAAAGGGTACAATAACGGCACCGAACCGAAGAAGAAGAAGCAGAAGCTGCAACACCAGCCAAATGCTCATCCGAGAATATTCTGAAAGTTCGTTTTGTTGAGGCGCTCGTCACACACAGAGTTTATATACAGGTGTAGGTGTGCGTTTGTGTGTGTATGCATGTATGTGGGTGAGCTAGCACTCTTTTCCTCTCGACCACCAACTCTTCTTCGTGTCATTGTTTTACCTTGCTTTACTCTGGACTCCTCTCTGTTAGTCACTCGCATTGTGGTCTGCCACCATTGCCTCGATTCTCCAACAGTAGCAGTTCTTTTGTTCGAATGTAAATCATATATATTCATATATGTTTAGGTGAAGTTGGTAAAAACGAGCAGGTTACCCGCTATCCGTTGCTTATCCGATTCTTGGTGCATTAATCCGTAATATAAAAAATGTTGAGCTGGTAAGTGTCAGCCAAATGGGTTTCTATTCGATTTGTGTTCTGCAAAAAGGCTATCTCTGAACTAACATAATGTTAGCTATCCAGGATTTCTTCATTATGTCGATTTTGAAGGTATCGTTGCCGTGTTCAGCACTTAATTTTACAGTGTAAAAAGCTAAGTCTTCTTAATTATGTCACGTATTCCATCAACTTTGTCATGCGTTTGGCTTTAATATGTGTAAACGTATTGTTTTTGTTTTCCTGCCCCAATAATTGACTCAACTTAACCTCCCTTCTCCAAAAAGTATGCAACAGCATTTTACATTATGTCGAAAAAAGCAACCGCTCCCTGCGTTGACTTCAGCATTAGCAGCATCAGCGTCAGCAGTTGCGTAGGTGTTGAGCACATGAACCGCAAATTTTGTTTACAGTGCTCACTTGCTGTTGTTATAGTTGTTGTTGTTTTGGCGAAGCCAACCAAAAGCAACAGCAACAACAACAATTTGAGCGCGTGCTTCGTGTTAAATGCAAAAGGGGAACAACAACGACCTCAGCGATGTCGATGTCGACATTGTTGTTATTGTTGTGGTATTGCTGGTGGTGGCCACCATTTTGAGTCTTGCTCTCTCACTGCCTACGGGGCTGACAGGCCGACCAAACTAACTGACTGACAAGCAGCCGTCTCGTGTTTGCTGCAAGAAAATCAACCCCAGTGCCGCATGCAGCGGGCGACGACAGAGGTTGGTGGCGTTTTTGTTGTTGCTGCTGGTGGTGGAGCAGCGCAGTGCACATCTAGGCTGCGAAGGCACTGAATGCACATGAATTACTGCACATACATATGCACAGAGAGCCGCTCTCGCTTGACAGTTATACTCTCTTGCTCTCCCTCTCAGCGCTCACACGCCGACGCCGCCTGCTGCTGTGAGAGCATGGCCCACACACGCACAGCGTTTCTAAGCAGTGAGCGCTCTCCCATGGCGTATTGAGCGAGCGTGAGTGTGAGTGTGACGTCTTATCCAACTCGAAACGACTCAGCTCGACTCTCACGCGCCAGCTGAACAGCGAAACATTTTAGTCCTTTCGCAAACGTCGTCAGCGTCGTGTGTATGTCTTGGTCGCTGTGGCCACTCTGCTCTCAAACTCTGGCGATTTACCGTTGCAATTACGATTGGGATTGCGATTCTCAATTACCAGCGCGTGTGTTAAGTGCCGTGTTTTGTTTTCGCAGTTCTGTGCGCCCCTGCACGTGCGTATGTGTGTGTGAGAGTGTGAGTGTCGGTCTCAGTGTCAGTGTCGGTGTCGGTGTCGGTGTTGGCGTTGGTGTCGGTGTTGGTGTGAAAGGCAGCCAAGCGAATTCAATTACAATTACAATTAGTGTAATTATGGCGGCCACTTGAAGAGTGAGCAAAGCAACGGTAACGGGCATTGAGCACCGGGCGACGGGCAAAAGGCAACAACCAGCAACGTGCAACGTGCAACGTGCAACGTGCACCGTGTAACGTTTAACGTGAGGGTGCCCGCAGAAATTTGAGATTGAGCTTGGATGCGACAAAACGTAATCAGCATCAATTCGTTGAGCGCGACAGAACGTGTAGCCAAGTGCAAATATTTCAATAAGGAAATTGCACACCCCAGACAAGCATCCGACCACCCAAATACCACCCAAATACCCCCAAACTACCCAACCAGGCAACCGACCAAACGACCGACTCGCTAGAATCGCTCCTCAGTTCAGTTTCAGTGCAGTATTCAAGATTTCCCGTTAACCTTTTTCGCCATAAAGAAAGCGGCAAAGTTTTCGTTCTCTGTGTGTGTGCGCGCGTGTGTGCGAGTGTGTGAGTGTGTGCTGTTGTGTGCTGTCGCGGTCTCACTCTCTCGACAGTCGCAGCAGCAGCAGCAGCAGCAGCAACAGCAACAGCCCAAAAGGTCTTCTGCTGCCCCCCTGCCCTCATACTCATCTGAACCATCGACGTCGTCGCGTAGTCAAGCAAAAGTTTCTGGCGAGGAATTTAAATTGGAAAAGTAAAATGAAAAGAAAAGCGCTCGAGTAAAAGTTAAACAAAGTGCAAAGTAAATATTAAATTAAAAAAAAAAAAAAAAAAAATAGAGCCGTAAAAAAAAAGCAAAATAAAAAGAAAAACGAAAGAAAAGAAAAGAAAACGAACGAAATTTGTGCATCCGGGGCAAAAGGAATCAGCAGCGGTAGCCAACTGGAAGACGCAACAGCAGAGCAGCAGCAGCAGCCAGGACTTGCTGCCTTCATTAATGCATTTGCCGAGCCACGCTGGAGGCCAAGTAAATCTCAACCTTTTGCACGCCGCACTGCAGCATCATTTATAAAGCGCTTTATACTCGCGCGCTTCCTGCTCCGCTCTCTTGCTGTCTCGCTCGCTCGTGCGCCGCGCTTTATCTGCCTGCTTGGGCGTTTTATTATTCCGTTTTCTTGGATTAACTCAATTTGTTGTGCCGCCTTGCCGGCAACGCTGCGTCGCCTGCTTCTGAAAAATCGAAACACAAGTGGCAACCAACAACAACAACAACAACAACAGGAACAACAAGAAGAAGAAGAACAACAACAGCTGTAGGAACGCAGCGAACAGTTTGGCAGCATTTCGCAGCAGGCACACACATACACACACACGGGAGCAGCGCAGCTCCAGCGAGCAGCTCCATTGCATTTGCATCCCTATTCTGCCCCTCTCTCTGTGTGTGTGTGTGTGTGTGTGTGTGTGTGTGTGTGTGTTAGTAAACGCCCGCCGTTTGCTTTGCCTTCACCTTGTTTGGATTATAACCCATAATAAATGATGGAATGGCTACCAAGAGGATTACCCAGCATTCATGCACCGATACCGATTTGTGGTGAGTCGTTGGTAAAGTTTGTCGTCTCGCTACTCCCTCCGCCCCCCCTTCTCGGCCCCAGCCATGAGCATTGGCAACCATTCCGGATATTCAATATAAGCCGAAAATATAAAAACTGAAACGATATCAAAACTGAAAAAATGTTTTAAAAAAAAAATACCAGAAAGGATTACAAATTGAATAGGGATTTCCGTGATAGATAAATCTGTTGTAGGAAATTAATCCTGCGAGAAAGTATAAAAGAAGTCTATATAAGATGCCCATCTGATTTCCCTTATCAATAGACTTGGACGCAAATTATTATTATATGTTAACTGGTCTAATTTAAGATAAGTTGCACCTGATAAGATGCGTTCAGCATAAAGCTCTGCTCTATTTTATTGGATCGAACATGGAATGTCTAGGAATGTGTTTCTGGCTGAGATACATCCGCAGTCGAGCTACGACTGTGGGGGCTGTGTTGACAACGAGCTGACAACACTTCAATGGAGCATTCCACAAAACGCTTTGTTCAATCGCCCCACTGTCTAAACAAGCAATAAAATTTCCGACAACCTCTATAAAAACACTCGACGCCAAATGCTTGGCACTAATTGTCTCTCAAACGAACGAAAAATTCCAAAAATATGCGCCGCAGCTTCTCCTGCTACGTCGATGGACGCCAGCGCTAGGGTGGGTGACTCTGTCAACGAGGGAGACGAGTCTATAAAATTAGGAATCGCTGTTGGAAAAGCTATAACATCGCGGCCATCAATAAGTTATTTTAATTCTCATTTATTTATTTTGACATCAAGCCCGGCAGGCAATTAAATGTCAACACGCACAGTTTCTGTCTATACGATATTATGCGGTAGCTCGAAATCGGAATACAGAATTTCGAATTCAGAGCTGGCCCTCTGATATATCGAGGCAAATTGTAATTTCCTTTAAATGTTTTTCCATTTTCGACGTGCTAGAGAATTAATTTTGTTGTTCTTGTTGCCAGCGGGATCAGCGAGGGACCGAAACGGAGTCGCTTGGGATCGTATGGGATCGCATGGGATCGCATCACTTAAGGCAAACAAACAAAAACCTAATGCACGGGTCGTAAATGAGTCGCCGCGAGCCTGAGGCGAGAATTGATTAATTTGTTAGTTGTTCTTTGGAACAGCTGATGGGAAGTGTCAGATGTGGGGCCGGGGGTAGGCAGCTACTGAGCTATTTTCTTTCTTGGCTGTTCTGCTCTGCTTTGCCAGCTGTTGCGAGAACTCTTCGCATTACGGTTTGTTTTCTCAACGATTTCCGCTGTTCCATTTTTTCATATTTTGTCTACGCCGTGTTTGAATTATCAAATAGCTACCTGAAGTAAAAAAAACATTAATTGTTTGTTGGGCATGTTCTAGTCGTGCCCATCGATATGCCATAATAATACCCTGGCTGCTTGCCTAGGATGTGTGCAACAGGCAAAACGAATCATATCCGACCTTATATATCTCTATGTTATCTCAGAACATACAAAAGATAAATAGTTGAAATTTTATATATGTATTCCCCTATATTGTCCACACTCAATTCGAAATTTGTATATTTTCATAACTTCCAAACTTTACCAAACTTAATATTCCCGATTCCCCGCAAAACTGAAAGAATACAATGTTGGGTGTCACATTACACTTTCTAAGGATCGGACTCGAAGCACCGATGCTAGATATTCAGCAATGCTTGGGGGCTAGGGAGAGAATGAGTTCTTCCGGGCTTAAAAATGTATAGATGGGCTGAAGCAGGGTATCTGCTAGTCGGTGGCTCCGCTCTTGTGCACTCGTTCTTGTGTTCTAGCCTGGATTCTTAATATTGTCTTCATGGATTTGCTGGTATTAGCCCCTTTTGATAGCAAAGGCGCAATAAATTCATCAAACATCTCGGCTGACTCTTGAATGAGCTCCAAAAAGTCTTGTCGTTGGCTTTGGGCGATTTATTCGTGTATCTAAACATGGCAAATTGCTAGACTCTGGCATTAGTTTATTTGCATTTGCATAACTAATCATTTAATTATCGGCTTTGTGCTGGGAAAGTCATTTAAAATTTAAACAACTGCATGTGTTTTGTTTGCATGCTTCGGTTGCTTTGGGCTGTTTAGAGTCCCGAATCCCTGCGCCCGCAGCTCTCGGCCTCCTCCTCCGCCGCATGAATGTCAAATAAACAATTGTAATTCATTTGCTCGTCAATGTAAATATAAAGCAGCTATATAAATAAATTTCACAGTTTTTGTTATTATATTCGGCAATTGAATTATATGTTGGACGAACGAGCGACCGACCGCCCGCCCGCCCGCATAAACAAGCAAATACTCTCTGTGTTTAGTTAGGGCATCGCATAATTTATTTATGCTTTTATCGTTGACGTCCAAATTTTCGCATTCCGGGGCCATATTTAATCGAATACAAACGCCGAGCCGAGGGACCTGCCGGCTATTAAATGTCTGTCAAATAATCAATTTATTTTTTATGGCCAAAGTTGAATAACAAATTTTGCAGATGGAAAGATTTTTACAATCGACTCTTGTCATAAAGTCAAAAGCACATTGGTTAACAGCATAAAACGCAAAGTCAAGCAAGGTTGCTGGACTTGCAGTTACCCTGTACTCTCTTAATTAAAGAAATGATACCAGGATCAGAATTTAGAATAAGAAATACCTTTCGATTTGAAGGAATTGAGATCAGTTCAGTTCAATATAAATAATTAACAGGTTACACTCGAACTGGTTTCTCACTTATGGATATCTGTTCGGTTCAGTAGATGGTCGTTCGGATCCCTTCTGGTGCTATTATTTGGTGCCAACTCTCCCGACAGTAGGTCAATATTTGCTTAGCCGGGGCAACAAACGCACTGAAAATCGCATGTAAATGATAATAATTTGTGTAAACATCGTGAGCATGTGCGAGCATTTAAGCAGCTTTGTTCAAGGAACCTTTCGGCCAGGCGTCTTAAAATAACAAACAGCGACAAGTCAAAAGTAAACAGAAACGCTTTTGTTTGGAAGACTTGAGCATTTAGGCAGCCATTGTATCAATTCTCTTTATATCATCTAATTAGCTTAGTAAGAATCTTGGCTATTCAAGGATGCGCACAAAAGTGTCTATGAATACGATAAACAGCTGAATAAACGCAAATACTAATATATAAGTTGGCAAACACGCGGAATGGATTGATATGATTTACTTTGAAAACCTAAATATTTGTGAAACAGCTTGAATACCCTTCCAATTTATTGGTACCCAATGTGACTAGGATAATATCAGAATAGCAGAAATGCAAATCTTAAACATTTGTATGAAATGCTAAGAGCTTCAACATTTTTATCAATAATCGGTAATTATTAACTAACAGAAGACAGGCAATTGATACAACACTTTTTATGCTCATTTATTAGATGTACACTCGATTTGGCAGCATATGCAGATAGGTCTTCCATCTAAACATTTGAAGCAATGGATACAGTTGGAATACGACAAGTGTAATTTGCTGGCAGTTAAATCGCATTAAACAAGTTTCAATAGTTTACCAACAACAACAACAGCGACAACAACAGCCACAACAAAACAATGAACAATGAACAACAATTGCATTTGTCCCGAGCAGCGATTACAATAAACTGTTCGCACTCGGATACTTGCTGAGCAACATTTGCTTCTAATCCCAAAGTGTCACAAACACTCAGCGTACTTAAATTGTGAATTCATACGCACTAGAATATATACTAGATATATTTTATGTACATATCTCTCTCTAGCTCTCTCTGTCTGTCTGTATATATATCGCAACTTTGGCTACCTCTCAGGCTGTGTGCACTCTCTGAGGCTATTCAATTAAAATGTCAGCTCAGAATTGCCGCAACAATGTTGCAGCACAGAATTGGTATGCGGATGAGAATGAGAACTGGGATAAGGATTAGGTTGGGAATGGGGATGGGTATGTGGCAGATGTTTGCCTTAACTTGTGTTTGTATGCTGAGTTGTGCTGTGGCACAACATGAGTTTGGATTGGAAATTAATGTTGAGAATCGTGCACAGGCTGACAAGGACCAAAGTGACGTGACAATTGTGCGCACGCCGGCAAAAGCGACATTAACAATATCATCAGGTCGAGTCCTGTGTCGGTGCCGGTGCCGGTGTCGCTGTCGCTGTCGATATGTCGCATGATTTTTAACATACTCTCTGAGCTGAACCAAATTCCTCCCCTGTGCCCTATAGGGCGAGTCAGTAAATCTGTATGCCAATTACTTAAGCAGCAAACAGGACCCAGACCCAAGACAAGTGACCAGCCGACCCAAGTAAGCGATGTCTGCCTGGTCTTTCTATTGCTGCTGCTTCGGCTTGCAACGGCACGGCTCGAATCGGCTTTGGCAAAGGGTCAGAGTCATTAACATGCTGTTGTCGCTGCCAGTTCAGAGCAGCATTTAGGGGCGACATCTGCACCTTTCTGTGTGACACTGAGCAGGCGTGGGGACCAGTCGGCGGGGGGGCGACTGCTTTGACACCAAAAGCCAGCCACGCCCATCTATGAAGTGGAAGCTGGCGGGCAAGCTGCCCAGCCGCAGAACATGTTTGTGTGCCAGTGGCAGGACTCGTTGGCAAGGACTCACACATGCAACGGCAGGCGGCAGACGGGAGAAGGCAGCGACCAAAAGTCGGCAAAGCAACCGAATTTAATACAGCATAAAATGGCATTTTCCAAAATCGCTGTTTGCTTATGGAAATTTTGGGTGCTGTTTTCTCGTTTCCGCATCATATGGACTGGCAAACGCAAAAGACAGAAGAAGAAAAAAAGGCAGATTTCGAAAAGTTTTCATTTTGTGGCTTGGGGTTTTTTGTCAGCTTACATACGCCCCTGGCCATGCCCTTCGGCACTTGGAGTTCGTTTCACTTAACCTTTCTTTGGGCGCTTCAATTGCTGCACCCTGTTTGCTGCATATTCCTTTCGAATATGTCGACGTCGATGGACGTCCAAAAAGTTTGCACTGTTTGAACTTTGGTTACTTTTTACTTGGTGTTGAAACTTTTTGGTCCCAAAGTTTTCAAGTATTGCCCCGTCCCGCTGGGTAACTGACTGTGATCGGGCTTGAACCTCGTGTGTGTGTGTGTGTGTGTGTGTGTGCTTGGGTTTGCCGGATTTTGGTCAAGCGAACTAATTTGCAAGTGCTCCATCAGCTTAAAAAGTACTAGTACTAAGCAGTTAAGTTAACTATTTGGATTGGATACATTTGTCATCATTTCAAATCAATTATAACGCAGCCGAATTTCAAGCTAATCAGCAAAATACAGGGTATACGCTTGTAAGCATCAACTTGTGGGAAAATCTTGGCCTCTTATGCAAGATCAGGATGTTATCAAAGTAATAAGTTGCTGAAAAGTATGTACGTTTGTATGTAAATCTTAACTTGTGCGCTTAAAGTTATCAAACCTGAGAAAGGGATTTGTCTATAATGCAGTAAAACAAGTCAATTAATAATAAAATGACTTTCAGCGTCTAGCTCTTCATACATATATGTTTTCAAACTGTTTTCATTCTGGGGCTAATCAGCTTTCTTGTGTAATGCCTAATACAATTTCCAAGAGCTGCCTCTGCTGAGATCTGCCGACATGTGCTCAAGTTGCGTCCTCTGTCCTCTGGAGATTACCCGGTAAAGACACAAACCTCACACTGGGACTTTTGGCTAGCAACTGAAAATGTTTGTTGTGCTGGTGGGGAATTTGGATGAAGGGTATAATGAGGGGCTGATGCGAGTATTAAAACTTAATTTAAAAACCATTGCATTATATTTGCATGCGAGACAAAAACACCTTGGGAATATGCTCTTGCTGCAAAGAACTGACAACGAATGACGTCCTCTCGAGTAGCTGCTGCAAACTGAGCTGCAAGGCGTCACTTTACGCAACTGTACAAACAGTTGCACAAATAATAAAGAGCGCTCCCTAGTTGTGGATTGGGGACTGTGGGGGGCGGCGGTGGGGACGATGGGGATGTGGGCGTCGGGACTGTGAGGAGGGCACTTTTAAGAGCGAAAAACACATTTTTGCACTTTTATAGCGCAACATCTTTTGTACGCGGCGTCCACTCGTCCTTCCCGTTTTCCGGGCAAACAAAGTCCCAGCCACAGGACACTCGCACAAAAGCAGACAGTCATCCTGGTACTGGCAGTGGCAATGGCGGCTGCCTTTAATAAACCCACTTTATTGTTTAGAGCCCAAATAAAATAATCCCCTTAAATGATGCCTTCGCATAATAGACGCCTGCTGCTTATTTTACTGCCGCTGCCGCTGCCTCTGCCCTCTTCATATCCTTGTTCGTGCCTGGGCGACGTTGTCGTCGTCCTTGCCAATTC